TTTACCAAATTGTGCTACAAGATCTAATTCTGAGATATTTATTTTAATAACAGTACGTTTAGTTAATATACCTAAATTTGTGTACATGGGAAAAATTAGGTTTTTTTACCATCTATAATCAGTAGACAGAAAGTTGCTTTTAATTCTGAATGCATAACTTGTATTTTTTTTAAATGTAGTACCATTATAAATTTCTCAAATTTAGATAGCTTCCTTCTAAAGTTTTCACTAACAAATGTAACTTCAATGACCATTCTTTTCCGAAATTTTCTCGTTTAGACTTTCCATTTCTCATTATTTCAGATTCTGATTGAGCTTTAACTTTAGATATTAGTATATCCTATTTTCCAATTTTTTCGTTTTTTTTTTTTTAATCATATTAGACAATATTTCTGCTCTTTTAGTCATGTCTCTGTCAAGAAAATATACCGGAATAGTTCTGTAGGATCTGTAAAAAATTGGACCATCACATAGTTTAAATCGAGGCACAAACCCGGCTTTTCCGCTTTCCGGGTAGCTACTTTAATAATTAAGTTATCCAATCAACCTTTCCGCGAATGCCTATTTATATGAAATAGAGTAAATCGCTTTCATAGTTCCATTTGACGGATTCTCTGATATTTGCTTTACTCTTTTTTCTTTACAAATCTTGATCTTTTCTTCACTTTCTTTTTCGTTGCGATGTTCTTTATTAAAGATTTTGGCCTTGATACCACGTAATGTACATGACATCCATGCTCTGCTCATTTATAAGACACTCGTGCTTCTGATTTTCTTTCTATCATCAATATTGAATTTATAGATAGTTCATGTTTTGTAAACAATATATAGTAAACTCATCGACTTGTCTTACAAGTTAATCCACATTTATGATGAACAACCTCACTGTAAATTACAATATTTTATAATCGCCTATCATTTTTTAGAATTCAGATAAGTTAACACTCAATAAAGTGGACATAGAAACAGATTTAAGATGTTTGTTTATTATTGAATTAATTAATACTGCTATATCTTTTGTTGATAGGCAAACATGCAACACATCTTAATTGAAATTGTTCATCATTCCTCATTTTATAATGTTATATGTCAATAGTAAGTTCAGGCATAACTCTTGACTTATTTTAATAAACAAGATTCCATTCTAAAGATGAAGGTTTAAGCGAGAACATGACTTTTTTGGAAAAGTTTTATTTCCTTCAAAAAAATTGTATCAAAAATGATGATTTTTGGAAAATAGTTTATGTATAAAAGTAAAACTTTTTCAAAACTTTGGGAAAGTCATGTCCTCGTTTAAATCTTCATCTTTAAAATGAGATCTTATTCATCAAAATCAGTTATGAATTACTTCTGGATTCACTGTTGTCGTAAGCAGTGTTTTCGACATTTTTGTAAAAAATAAATTTTGTTTAGTGACGCCTCTTGACATTTGTGGCAAAAAAAGTTCTTACTGCAATTACTGATTTTTATATATACGATTGAATGATGTGAAATAGATAATTGCCCGCTTGTTTGTGAGCATAAATCAATGCTTCAGTTTTCTGATCCATTCTAAACGCAAGGAAACAAATCATTGATAGATGATCTCTCTCACTTTTTCAGTTGATATTTATTTTTTAACAATTTCTTCGGCTAATATTTTTTATAAACATGAAAAGGTCGATCTTTTTTATTGTTTTTGAAAGTTATGTAACTGTTTAGTAATATCTATAAAGTAAAAAAATATTTTTTATAGGATTTTTTACAGCTTCGCATAGTGTGAAATTTGTTTAATATTTGATCACCAACATCAACTTCACCTATATTCTTATTGTAATCTATTACTACTGATGGCTTTAAAATTTTTTGTCCGCTATATCGGTTTGTATCTTCCGTTTCAGCAAAATTTAAATTATGCATAGGTGTTAATAAAACATCTTTTTTATTTTTTTACTTTATGGCCGTCATATCCGCTGTAGAAAATACGACAGCTTCTTCCTTTTCTGATTGGAGTAATTTTAGTTGCCGAGGCATTTTTTTCTTAGTTATTCTCGCTGTTCCACATATTATATAATTCCCAATATAAAGCCGGTGAACTGTATCAATTATCAATGAATAAACAATATCCTTTGTACAGTAATCTACTCTCTTTCAACAAATTTGCAACATTTCTGCTAACAGATCTAAATCTGCTATCAGATCAGTTTAGTTTTATCTTTTCCTACATATATTTTAAAATTGTGTATGTATCTCGTTTAAAAATCACGCAGTTTTATAAAGTTTAGTATCAAATCTGGCTCGATTAGTTTTAATAAATTGGATATAATATAAATGTCTTCTATTATACATTGCGTCAATGATTCATCAATTGATATATTTTTATTTGATACATACATACGAATAAAATTCTTTCTTATTATTTCAAAAATTTTTCGAATTTTTATTAATGGGTCGTTGGAGATATTACTGGAAAAATGTAAATTTGTAGCGATAGAGATAAATCGATTACGGGATATAACATTCTTAAAATATGGTGTTTCTATGCTTTTATCTTTGATTCAATAACTCTGAATAGTGTTCAGTAACTCTTCATCGTCTGTAATTGGTACAAAATCTGTGTTAGTTGCTCCGTATTTGTTTGTTTCCGAAATTATTTTTCTAACTAGTTTTTCATTAAAAAATAATTCAAAGACTTCCCTTCTCGACAGATTTTGTGTATTCACAGTTACATCGCTCATGCTTGAAAAATCATGTACAATCGGTATATGATTTTGGGGTTTCCATACTTAACCCTTTGAGCGCTGAATACTCGTGGCCTATGCAGTCCATACGAACGGCGCGCGGTTGGCGCTGACGATCGCCGGGGACTGAATACTTTTTCGCGCAATAGAAACAATTGCCGAACATATACATTTGACCATAGTACCTGATCATTTTTGCCAGGTGTGTATTGCGTCCATAGTCCATAATGATAGCATCTGCCGAGCGCGTATTTGCGTCCATAGTCTATATCGATAGCTTTCGCTGGATGCATATGTGTGCCCATAGCACTCAAAGGGATAATCTCTATTTATAAAACTACCGCGTTGATCAACTTCGCTGTCATCACTCAATGAAATATGATGAATATGTCTTCGAGTATATCCTATTTCTACACTTGAATTCGAATCGTCAGAATCTATTGGGGCAACTAAATTTTATTTTAAATTATAAAATTAGGTTATTTTTTAAATTTGAATACAGATTGACACTATTTACTCTTAACGGCAGTCAGACAGATCTACACAATAATTAACAAAAATAAAATTTATTAAGAATGCGATGAAAATAGCTCAAATGCTCATAAATTGACAGCAAAACATGAACTGTGTCATATGTGAAATATTCCGCGGACAGTGATAAAAGAAAATCGCCGCAGCTCGCGGAATATTCCACACTCAATAATAGGAGACGATCCACTTACGGATGCAAAGTGGTTAATGGGTATCTAGAACTGGAAAAAGTAAATTTTATATACCTATGATGGGGAACCTATTATACATATCCAAAATTTTTAAAAGATCTTTTTTAATTTTTCAAAATTCCTGAAATATAGCAGTCAAACTGTATATTTTAAGCTGATAAACGATTAAAAGTGTACAATATTTTTACATGTAATATTTTCACCTGAAAGTTGAAATTTTTTAAAGTTCTTCTTTAATGATAAATAGGTCGTTACTAGAATAAATTTACGTTATTCAACCATATTTATCTGACATATTTAGTTGATATGCATTTTGCGGTGATCTGTGCTAGATAGGACACAACACCCGGTATAATTTTGTTTAACAACAAATACGTAGAAAATTAGTGAATATAAATATTTAATATATAAATATTCACTAATTATTCTTTTTTAGAAAATATTTGAGTCTTATTTTTTGTCACAAATTTATATACTAATTATTACCTGTATCGATTATATTTATTATTCTTGATACGTTTACATCATAAAATAAATGAGTATCACCTATATCGTATCTGACACAGATCATTGCAGAACATACATATATCAAAAAAGGACATAAAAATTATAATTTTCTGGCCTACTAAACTACTTACTTTCTCTAACCAAATTAACTATATTGTTATATTATGAGTAAGATTTATAACTTACAAGCTTATGCACCGATACGACAGACACATAGTAGTGATAGTATTTCCCGGTTGCGCTCGTAGTTCATGTTTTGAACATATTTATTGCTGAAGTTACGCAAGTTTCGAGTGAAAAATGACGAAGTCAATGCACTAAACGTATGTATTATAATTTTACTGAATACTTAATTTTCCACTGTACTAACGTCATACACGCGTGCCATGTGCCAATAGAAGTTTTAAGTAATATGGCATTTGACATTAATCAAAATGCCTTCGCTTACAATAATTGTTTACGTTGACGAATGGGTCGAGATATCAATCGATCAAATATATTAATTTTAACTGTTAAGCAACATAAATAGAACAAAAATGAATTAAAATATAACTACAGCTATGTTATTTTGTCTCAGAATGGAAGTACAAACATTATATTAAAGAAGTATAGTAATTACATAAGAAGGTAAAACGAGTTTAAAAAATATTGTGCATTAATTGTACTATCTACCGGTGTAATTAAAGATTTATTGCAATTCCTTTCTGTAGTTCTTCCTTTTCACCAGGTGAATTGTGTAATTATATATATATATATATATATATATATATATATATATATATATATAACTATATATATATATATATATATAACTATATATATATATATATACTAAATATATATATACTAGTTAGTTATATATATACTAAAATATATATACTAGTTAGTTATATATATACTAAAAATTTGCGTTCCTTGACGCCAGATAAATAATATCGAAATGTTGACTTTATTGAGTCCGAGCTAGGCATGTCTATATGTTTGTATAGTCTAAGGTTTCCTCAGTACACACTATCTATAGTTTCTACTGGCTAATAAACAGATTACTCATTATAGATTCGTAGCAGTCCAATAAAATTGTTGAGCATTCTTCGTTTTTCTCATAGTGGCACTAGTGGAACACAAAAGGCATTGCCAACACACTGATTACATTCACAAAGTCTTTATTGTAATATCAACTTCAGAACCTCTATCGACTAGTATACCTCAAATATGAATCTGGGTATAGTATATCACAGTGCGTGATGAACGACCGCATAATAGATGATTATTGACTTTAGAAGTAGTATATATTTGATTTTTTGTATTTACTTTAAAATAATTGCAAATATCATTAGAATTAAAAGGATTAATTTAATATTTATATAAACATGACTACTTCCAAAGAATTAAGTTTAGCTAGAAAAAATCTTGCAGCTTCATTGGGTGATAATGCAAAAATGTTAGTTAAATTTTATATAATTAATATTTTACGCAATATATGTGATTTTATATGTTATTTATAATTTTATTTGATTGACAGATATTTTGAGAAAATGAAACTCTGGTTTCAAATGAAGGTACGTTAATTTTCCAATAATAAATTCCATTAGCACTATATAATTTTAATAGCAATTTCTATCTTAGACAACAAAAGAGGAATTCGATTGCGAGGCACGTAACATCATGACAGAAGATCAAGTTCATTTGCATAATGAATTTTTACTTTGTTTATTCAACAAAGTCAGAGGGTTGGCTGTAGCTATACCAAATCGTAAAACAGACAAAGATAAGATTGTTAAAGAAAAAAGGCTTAGGTTAAAACGTAAATATAAAACTGATAAATCAAACTTCGAGGTTTGTTATATCATACTTCATAGAAAAATTATGTAGTTTACAATACAAATGTATGTACAACTTTATTTTTTTTTTCTTTTTTTTTAATTAGCCAGCAGATATTTATGCAGAAGTACTGAATCAAACATCATCACCAGTTGGGGATGAACCTATAGGAGCAAATAGATCTAGTGCTCAAGAACTTGTGCTACCAGATCGGACATTTGTATTAGCTAGACTCATGCTTGCTGCATGGGAAAATAACATGGATGGTGCAGAAGAAAATACTGCTCATATTGTTATTGCTGCTACTCAGATTTTTATGAAAAATATACTTACTGCAATTCTAACAAACAGAAAAGAATTCAGTATAAAAGAAGGATCATTTATTCATGGTATAGGAAATCCTGTACCTAGTTCATGGAAACGAAATACAGCTTATGTAATCCGGTCATGCGATTACAGGTAATTATAAAACATAAAATACAAAATAAACATATATATATATAAAACATCTATTTTGTACAGTCCTACAGAAATAATAGATCCTTATGGACAAGTTCCATCTACAAGGCAAAATTTTGAAGAAGCTGAACAAGCAACTGCTTTTTCATTTGCATGCTCCTTGCAAACTACATCTGCGTCTTTGAAACCAGTTAGTATAGCTGATTTACAACGCACACTAAAGGTATAAAATTTATTAAAATTAACATGTTAATATATTTAATTTATTTAATTTAATGTCAAATTTTAATATTGTACATATTATGTTAAATATTTTATTGTTTTACATAGATCCATAAAAATCTCATCAGTAACCATACAATCTATGCTACAAATATGGAACGTTTGCACACTTATGCAACACACCCAACATGGGAAGATTTAGAAGCTAGGAATTTATTAAGACAAAAATGTAGAATTTAAAATAATAAACAATATTTTATTATACATGTATTTCGTATATAAATCAATAAAATCATAAGTATTTAAGTGATAGTACAGATAAGATAGATAAATACTTCATATATTTGAAGTGTATTTTAATCATATTTATATTTTCTGGAATTTATTTAAAATAAAATAGTTAATAGTATTCTTTTCTTATCTTTATATTACGAATTACAGAGTTAAAGCCTGTATATAATTTATCACAATCTTTTAAAAAAGTATCCTTTAAATTTATATTTTTATGTATTTCTGTTACATTCTTATTTGAAATTTTCCTGCTTTAGTGATATATTTAACACCTTTGAAAGGTTTATATTTCTCCCCATACATATCTAATCGATTTACTTTTAATCCTGAAACTGCTAGTTGATTAATAGTAAAACGTACCTATAAGAATATGTAACATGCATTAATGAAGAATTAATAAAATAATATAGTAAAAAATACATACATAATAAGTAAGAATACATACATTAATAGCAGGATTGGATTCTGTTATGACTGCAGAGTTTTGAATGGTGATCTGCAAATAAATTACTTTATCAATTACTTAACAAATTAATTATTATAAGTTATATATAAGTGAATGTGATTGCCATTCAATAAAACGATTTCAATAACAAAAACAACTAAATAACTATGTGTTAATAATAGCTATATAATTATTGATAATAGCTTAATAAGTTACTAAATGTTTTTTTTTTAAATAAATCATGTAGATATGAATAATCTAAAAAAATTTTTAATATATAATAATATATAGTATGATCGATTACAATAATATATAGAATACAATATCTAAATGAAACTATAACTCTTTTTGTACAATATTATCCTTTTTTCTAAATTTTTAACGACATTTTCACATAATTGCTATTCAATTTCAAATTGAATTGGTCAAATTTTATTTTGAAATTCTTCAGTGGTTTACAGATTGTTGACATAAACTAAACCTTTAACAAAAAATTTAATCTAAAGAAAATAATCCAGCGGCAAAAAATTGGGCAATCTTTTTGGTCAATTAATATCCCTATTTCGTGAAAGAATTTTTCCCCTGAACTTTGATTTTATTATATTTCATATAATTGTAATTAATCATACTATATATTAAAATAAAGATTTTTTAAAATTGTTTAAATTTAAATAAAACATTTTAATTTAAAATTTGTTAAAGTTTAAACTTAAATTTTAACTTTTTAATATTCTAAAAAAAAAATTATTAAAAAAAATGGAAATTTTGCAAAGGCTCCCAAAGTAAAACATATAAAATTCATATGGTAATCAACATATTAAATATAATTTTACGGGAATAATCTGATATGTTTAACTCACAGATCCTCTTAAATTCGGTAATTTAGAAACATCAATCCTTCCAATGTCCCAAAGTAATATCTTATTAACAGGGTCAAAAGAATATTTTCCTTGATTTGGAGTTAATGTACAATTTAATACTATTTTTGGCATTGGAATTTCTAACACTACATTTTCCACCTAAAATAAAATATGATTCATTATAACTTCTTAAATGCTTTTCTTAAACAAAAACTTACAGTTCTTCCAATAGTTTGTTTTGGTCCAACAGTTATATCTAATCTACCTCCACCAGGTTCCTTCAGGCTAATATTATGTCGCACATATATTGGAATTGCAACAATATTTTGTGATCCTATATGGTAAGCAAGAAGTCGAAAATTACCATCCGGAGGAATAAAGGACAATATTCTCTCTGACTGAAATGAAATATATATATATATATATATATATATATATATATATATTTATATATATGTGTGTTAAATATGAAACAACTATATTTGATATATCTACATTAAATAATAATTTCATAGCAAATATCATATCATATATGTTATATATATCATATCATCATATATGTACATACCTCCCAACGTTTAAATCTAACACAAGGATGAAAACTAACATCATCAAATAATCTTGGATTTATAAAGGAAAGTGTTAAATCTGGCATACCACTTAATTTTATACAACAGTCAATCTGAAATATTAACGTCAGAAAAAAATATTGAATTTAAAAAATATAGGCAAGTTATCATACATACATAGCCTTGTATTTCTGCAAAAACTGTTGATCCAGTTTTATCAATTATAGCATCTACTTCTTCCACAACATCAAAATAAGCTTCATTATTTGTATATTTAACTCCTGTTCTTCTCCATGGAACATTAGATAACTGACTGCTTGGTAATATTGCACTAACACTATATATATAATACAATGTAATTTATTAACTATTTTTTTATAAAAAATATATTTATATATTACAAAAATTTTTATATAAAAATTTTTAATATATAAAAAACTGAAAACGATAACTCATAGAAATCTGAAAGCTGAAGATTATAAATTATAGAAAAATTTGATATTTTCAGATAATAATATTTTTACTTACTTTGATTTACCTGTAACAGTATTTGCAATAGTACGCAAAATATTAGGAGGTTTAATCAGTTCTTTCAAAATATTGGATTCTGTTGCCAGTGGGAATCCATTATCTAACATCTCATCTAGTAATTCATATACTACTACATAATTTTCTTTAATAATAGATTCTGTGCACTCACTGAAATAATCTTCAAAAGTATCAACTACTCTATGTAAAAATTCAATAACAAATAATGGTGGAACTGAAATATAATTTTTAGGTAATATCTTTTTAATATTTGGAATTTTGTTGATGGATTTGTAATAGAATTAAGACTAACCTTCTGTCATGCATACTGCTACAAAAAACATATTACACCGATATATACTAATAAGATAATGATGAGGTGTAGCTATCACAGGTGGTGTATCTTCGAGAGAAAGAACTCTTCGTTGTTGATCAAAAAAATAATCGCATAGTGATCGTGCAACGGCACTTTTCCAATGTTTTTCCATGAACACATCTCTGTTTAATAAAATATTTTTTTATATTATTATTATTATTATTATTATTATTATTATTATTATTATTATTATTATTATTATTATTATTATTATTATTTATATATATAAAGAATATATATTATATAATATAATAAATATGTATAATAAACAATAAAATGAATGAAAAATGAAACTTGTTTCTATCAATTATACATGTCATATTGAATTCATAAGTTAAAATATTTACGTACCCAGCAGAATTAATAATAAAAAGACTATGTATCATTTTTCTATAGTTAGAAACTAATACTGTCCAACACTTATTTTACACTGTAATTTTACACGATTATTTGTAGATTTTTTTTTATGTTGTCCTAACCTATAATAACTTATGATAGATTCGCCATATGTTATATATTGTATTAATACACTATAGCCATCTTCTAACAAACTATTAGATGCAACAGCGTATAGCATGGAAATTTTTTTCGTGGTTTTATATTTTGTTGATATTATTATACTGCGAAAAGTAATATTTATATGATTATTATACATGCAACAAGCATATGATGTTTATTTCAAAACAAGCAAAGATATCAATTGTTCATTATTATAATTATATATAAATAATGAAAACAATAGGTAAAATTTAATATATGTGTGTATGTGTATATTAAAATTTTTTACAGTTGTTAAATAACGCTCTATCTTAAAAAGAAATTAAGAAGTTATAAATACCAAAATTTAAAAGTTGTTGAAAATTCGAAGTTTTTATATAAATAAAAAATTTTTTTCTTTAAAACGTAAGGAACACTTCGACCCACCTCGACTAACTTTAATAAAAAAACTTTCCGTAACAGTAACTGTAACTGTAACGCAGAGTTGTCACGGCAACGTTACCAGAGCAAATTTGATTGCATTTGCTACAGTATAGATTATAGAGGTGAATTATTTGGAAGATTTTGCTAATTTTAATAGTAAATTTATCAATAATAAAATAGACAAATTTTTCATTATATTATCTTTAGATGAGTCAAATTTATACATTTATATTCTATTATAGATTAATATTCAATTGGAATAGTAAAACAATAAACTGGTTAATTGGAATATCTAATCTTGTAAACTCTTCAGAGTCCATATAATACATTTTATTGTTCGAATAATCCATTTTGTGATTTTATTTTCATAATTAAAAGATTTAAATCTGATATTTATCTAAATAATTTCCATAATTTACACGGTTAGTTTATCGCGCCCAACTGTGACGTCAGATAATTTTTGAGTCTGATTGGCTATCTATAAGAATCGAATAGTAAAATTCCATGTTGAATTTTTCGATTACACTGTTATAGCTACTATTATGGGAACCAAATCGAGCAATGCGATTGGCGAACCTTACTATTTTATATGGAAAATGTGTGTAGCCATAGGCTGGCTATATACACTTTTCATACAGTAGCAACTGTCATTTTTAACCTATATTTTCGTGATATCAATAATTCGAAAATTGTATACATAGTATGGGACAACAATATTAATTAAAATAACCTAGGAAAATACATATATATATGCATTTCTATACCATGTATAAAATTGTTAAGTGGTTATTGATACCATGAGAATATAGGTTAAGAACAACATATTCTGCTTTTGTTTACACTGTTGATCGAATTCTTGATCAAAGTGGTCCAGTCCATTTCGAATTATAACGGAGTCATGAATTAATTGCGCTCAAATGTGATATTTGACAGGTGTATTTCCATTGAAATCATATATATGCAATTTTTAATTGATTATAACAGTAAAACGTTTTTAAGTTAATTTTTATATAAACTATTCGATTGTAGAAAGATGGATAAATATCAACTTAGCAATGATAAATTTTATGGAATTTTAAAATTCATTCACGTCAATCATATTTTATCAATAGATAGGTAATATGAATCTAGGGAATATTGATATTTATTTTTATATTACAATTATAATAAAATAAAAATTTTATTAAACAGATTTCGATACTTTTTCGAATTCTTTAAAATTAAAATTTTGATTTTATATTAAATTAATATATAAAGTCTTCTATATAAAAACAAACTCTAAAGATTGCGTATCATTTATGTATTATTTAAACAAAATATATTAGATAATGTTTTTCTTAAACAGCACACCATTATATTTTATACTGATGGAAAAAGGATTATTTTCTACAATTTTGTTTGTTATTATATAATAAAAAATATGATTATGTATCAGAAGTATTCAAATATATTATTTAAAATGTGATCAATGCATTAAAAAAGTATACCTCTTT